ATATCTATGAAAAAGCTGAATTTTACAGTAGTGATCGGCGATAAAGAGCCAGTGCCGAACTTTAGCGATTTATGTCGAATTTGTCTATTCGTTTGGCATTCATGAACAATATGAAACATTCAATAAATAAAAGAAAAAAAAAACAATTGTAAATATAACATCTTGAATGTCAACAAGTGTATTAAATTCATATCACGTAAAAATGTAAAACCAACCTCATTTACATCTATATACCCACATGTTAATGTTTCTTACGTAAAATGAAACAGTAGCAAATATATAACAGCTTCTAGTTTTATGAATAATAGTTGTTCATTTTGTTTTCGACTCTAAATGTTTCTGTATAAAAAAAAAACATGAAAGATAATATTTAATTTTAAACAAATGGTTCTGTCATAAAATTACAGCATGTGAGATATTTATTCAATGTTCAGAAGTTGACGAATTTACCGGAATCAAGATTCGTTAATATAACTTTTTATGTTCCAATATTTTTTTATAAGAATTGAACGAGTCATTTTAAAACGTGGCTGTCGCCTCCATCCGAACTCCGTCGTAAACTTGTACTGATTTCTTCATGCACAACCGAATTTTTTTTTTGTCACGTGGTGTTGAAATCTTTGACCACCTGTGGCATTTATAGTCTCAAAAAAGACACTTCAGTTTGCTGTTATAAGTTGTTAACATGAAGCCAAAGATAGTGTTGCTATTTCACTTGTCTCATGCTTAGTATTTTGAAGTTTTCACCTTTCACCAAGACAATCAAAGTTCTAGTACTTTACCGTCCGGGCGGACGACAGACAAACCCTGTAAAATCGGTTCTTGTACTTTGCCGTCCGGGTCGACGACAGATAAATCCTGTAAACTCGGTTCTTGTAATTTGCCGTCCGGGTCGACGGCAGACTAACCCTGTAAACTAAGGTCTTGTACTTTGCCGTCCAGGCAGACGACAGACTAACCCTGTAAACTCGGTCACTATGAACAGTTTATTAGAACTTGATTCAAATTGATGCAGCGCCCCAGATTGCCCCGCGAAGACTTATTTAAATGTCAAAAGTGGAGGAATGTTCAGTTAAGAGTTCTCGAATAAAGCGTTTTAGCTGGTATGAAAAACATCCATCAATAAATCAAAATAAAGAAAGTCAATTTAATTTTGCATACACACATTAACACAGATCTCATAAAATGTACCGATGAATCAGTCGACCTTAAGCTAAAAACTAGTCAGAAACAGGATTTCGACTTAATAAAAAAAGAAATGAAGACATGAAAAAGTACAAGAATAAGGCAAAAAGATTATCATTGAAAATGATGAATACTGACCAAAATTGACTTTCAGACACAAAATATTCACAATGAACATTGATGGCCCGGAATTTGCTGCAGTGGACCTGGGTTTTGTGACTAAGAACATCACGTTTCAATATCCTAGATCAAATGCAGGCAAAGTTATGCTCTGGACACAAAATGTTAACGAAGGGCAATAACTCTGTAATTAAGGGGTTGTGGGCCCTGAATTTGACACACTGCACATCGTCTTAGAATGACCAATGTATACATTCAAGTTTTGTTATCCTAGTTTCAAAGCAAGAGAGGTTAGGGCTGTAACTGCAACTGAGGGGCCAATGACCCCAATGTAGGTACGTATACACCAGGGTTCGTATGCATAAAAATTCTAAGTATTTTTCTTAAATGTTTACTTAAATACACTTTCGACCTACTTTACTGAGCAAGTTGCTTATTTTCCATTGCATAAAAATTCTAATCATCATGCTTAGATGTTTTTAGTAAAGCAGATTGCAACCTTCTTAAAATACTAGTTGCTAATGAAGCGACATACCGATTCCCGTACTTTCTGTTTACAAACAAAGGCACGTGATTAAAAACGCGTGCCCGGTCGTCTGCTTTCTTCAATCGCATTGAAATTGTATGAAGTCAAAATGGCCTAAGAAACGGGAGAGACGCCCTGTAAGAAACGAAAACCAAACTGGACTGCCGAGGAATGTCTCCATCTCACAAAACTCGTGGAGGAAAACAAAGCTGTGCCGAGATCATCTAAGTTTGTGGCTGGGATAACAACCCAGAAGAAACGAGAGACTTGGAAAAAGATAGCTAATGCTATCAGTGCGTCTTCCACCATATGTCGATTGACTGAGGAAGTTGAAAAAAATTGCATAATCTCCATATGAAAGGAAAATCGGAGCTGTCCGATCACAAGAGGCAGACAACGATGACAGGTAAGTTACGTGTATACATGATGGTTGAATTCCGATAAGTCCCGAAAATCCATTCATTCTGCACATCGTTCTGCAGACGACATTTAAGCTAGCAGTAGTTAGTGGGCTTTGCGCAAATGTACCAAATACACTTTGACATAACATGTGAAAATATAAACGTTAAAATTATCACCGCTACGAAGTTGCATTTCTCCAGTAGCATAATATCTTAATGCAATCATAACCTTCAAATGTGGAGGTAAGCTGTGGTTTCTTCCCGTCGCAGGCGCGATATCGACTTTAACAATATCAGTAATAAATAGAATTCCCTCACTATCAAATCTAAATCTCTGATAAAGTTCAAATGCATCAAAGTTATGAAGTGGGTTAAACCTGTCTCTAAATGTCTTCCTCGTCTCAACGCCCTTGCAAACTGTTGAGGTGCACTATGCTGTCCATTGGCGGCGGCCATTTTGTTGGAGTTAAGTAACTTGCTTAGAAATTTAAGACTGGCTCAGAGGTTGTTTAAAGATAAGAATATTCTTAAAAGATAAGAAATTTTGCAACCCACTCACAAAGATAAGCAAGATGCTAAGCACAAAATCCAATCTGCTAAGCAGAGTTTTTCAACTAAAGCATATTCTTAACCACTGAAGAATTATTATGCATACAACCCAGGTAGATGGCAACACAAACCACCATGTCAGAAAGTTTTTAAATTCTATTAATTTTAGTTTAATCTTCTGTAAGTGGTACTTTTCAAGAATGAGTTAAAACTTTTCAGTCCGTATCCTAGAAATGCCTCCTACATCCACACAAGGCTATCTGGGTGAAACATAATACGTATTAAACCTAATCATATATATATATATAAAAGTTGCTTGAAATATGGAGGAAACAATCATAGAGGTGACTTATTTTGCAAAGCTTTTTAGGCCAAGTATGTTTCACTGGAACTGCCCTAAACTATTTTTCAATAAAAAAAAACAAATAAAAAAATTCATTTTTGTTTTATTTCAAATTAAATATACATATCTATACAATGGTAATAATATTGTGGTATGCATGCTACATTAAAAATTACAGACAGATGAACAAATTGTACTAGCTGATCAATAGTGTACTGTAGCCAGAGTATCAGACAACCCCTAAACACCTAACATCAGTAACCAATAACAATACTGGCTACACCCTAAATCAATCTAGTCAACCAATAAAAAATACATAAAAATCGGACAAATTTGCATCTTCATTAATATCTTGTCCACAAATATTTTTTCCAAATCTGGGACAGTAATGGCAAGCATTGGGTAAAATTAAGCCTGTATATTCTCACTGCATATAAATAGATGACAAAGTACATTTAAACTGCCCTATGATAAGCAAGTGTCTGTTTATAATAATTTTCCAGTTATAACAATTCTACTGACGATTGATTTTAACTGCCAGGTGTTTTGAGGCAGGACAGTCTGGCTTTTAATAACACTGTCCTCCCAACTAGGAAAAACTGTGTCACATAAATAAATTAAATGGCGAATGTATATAATATCATGAAAGACCAATGATGAACTACCAATTCAACCAAAGCTAAATGAGTTGATCGGCTACTCAATCTTTTATCCCTTAATCTCCTAAATAATAAAATACCCTGATTTTACAAACAGCACCCCCCAACTTCCCAAACCCTAAAACAATGGGGAAAATCAACACTCCTCCACCAAAAATTCCATATAGTAAATGGCATTGATGAAATATCTTGATTATACTTGAATATTCCCATGTAAAGAACAACCAATAAATATTCTATCCAAAATGAGATTCCTTTAAAAAACCCACTCTTCTATGTATCAAAAATAAAAGGTTTCCATGATCTTTTTTTTAAATATCAAGATAACTTGTCTGGATAGTTTGGTAACAAATCATGATTTTAAGTATCCCGTGTATTATTCCTGTCAATTCCTTATAATTTGACCAACAAGTAGACACAAGCCCATCTGGTTATTTTGTGCATACATAGATTTTGCACTAGTCATTGTAAACATGGTCTTGAGAACAGAAATTCAATACTTGAATAATAATCTAAAAAAAAAGTGTAAAAAAAGCAAAAAAAAAAAAGTAAAAACTTTAAAAAATTTAAAAGGTGTTGTACAATGTTCAGAAAATTGCCATAAAATTATTTGCAAATGTGGGACAAACCAATTACTCTGACCAATACACAAGAGATCACAGAAATGTAATCGTAACAAGTTAACATTTCCAACAATGAGACAGAAATAATGAGCAAAAAACCAGATGAACTTGTGTGTACAAATTTGCCTGTTTCTAACATATGTATAAACAATTAGAATTCTATCTTTGGAAGAACTTATCTGCAACAGTTCCTTGCCAACTGAAAAACTCACTAACTGCAATTTTGCAAAGAAACTTTTAGAAATATTTTTTTTTGTCATGATCAGTCAACTTGTTCAATCATACTCTAGGTCATCATGCTCACTATAAAAATATTTTCAATACATCTAAAAATGCATTATCACATCATTCACAGTAAACATTCATTCATGCAGACACCTATCACAATCATTCACTTACAACATATATACAGATCAACTACTAAACACCTGCATCCCTTTGTGGGAATTCTTGCATGCATTTTCTGCAACACCCAATCCTGGTGAAAAACACTTCATAACTCCATTCATGTGCATCAACCAAACACAGGCTTTCTCATATATCCGCAAAAATTTAAAAACTTTTTCAGCTTGGCATTGGAAATGGTCACTCTGCCTTATTGCAAGTGTCTGTTCATGCCGCACCGAAGTACATCACAGGAAATGCTCATATGGGGAATGATTTCTGACAACACTGCCTCAGGATGCAGTCTCTGCAGCTGTTGACAAGTCTATCAATGTTTGAGACTGTAGTTCTGAGATGGTGCTGATTTTGTTGAACTTTGAACTAGCATATTTTGTTCTTACCGCCTGTAACAAAGAAAAGATATGATAATACCAAAACTTTTTTTTTCTTTTTGAACTTGGTCCAAAGATAAATATTTCTGCCATTCACAATAAAAAATTCTAAATGATATGGGAACAAATTTGTTAAATAATTTCTTGCATTTGCACAAATTTGTTAAAATTGAACCTAAATATTTAGGGAAAATAGTCAGTTATTTCTTGTAATATTTACTTACTGTGAGTTTGCTTTTGTCTGCTTTGATGACTAGAGTTGATAATTTATGGACCATGGGCATCAGGTCCTTTTCTGTGTAAGAACTGTAGTGACTTAACGTGTCCGTCTGTGGAAGGATTGAACACAATTACTTAAGGGTAGTCTTGTTGCAACATGAACAAGAATCGTTAATTATTTGGTACGGTATTGTATTTAACAGAAATGGATGCTCCGATAAATTGTTCAACAATTTGCATATCTTGTGTAACCATGAAATATCGGATGTATGAGTATTAAAAAATCCTGGGTATTTTTATCTAGATTCTAACAACACTTCTGAAAAACAATTTTGAACAAATCTTATATTTGAATCTTATAATAATAAAGAAATTCCACAAGTTATCTCCCTTGCTAGAAGTTGTACATACCCATTTGCTGCCATCGAGAAGCAACATAGAAAGACAGAGGGCACCAGCAGCAATTTCTGAGGGATTATAATGCACCATGTCGTATTCTACAATGGTCAACTCCATCAGGTATTTGGCGAGTGTGTGTTTCATGGCATCAACCTTCAAAAAGAACAGATCAGTTAAAATAGTGGATATTTATCTAGTGAAATATTAAAATGCTGGACGATAATTGTTTTGGGTATTTCATGATTTCAACTACATTATGTTAAACTTCCTTTAGATCTTCAGTGAATTTTCAAATAATCAGACTGAGCCAGCAACAGCAGGTTTAATAATTCAACCGGTCGTTTACTCTATGGAGCTAGCACGCAAACTCCATATAAATGAGGACTCACCTGTCCTGCTTTAGAATCCCGTCGCAGAAAATGTAAACACAGAGGTTTCCCCATATTGAAATCTAATGCCCTGAGAATTTTGGCTTCCATGTCCCGAATGTCTTTCTTTTGATAAGCATTGTCCGTAATATAAACAAAGTCCGCTAATTCTGGAGCATACATTTCCTCATATTTTGATGCTATTAACATACAGGTTACTCCCACTAATTGAAGTTTATTCCTGGGAACAGGACACAACTGAAAAATGATCAGATACCTTAAGATATAGTTCCAATGAAAATGAAAGTTGTTTGTAATCTAAGTAAAAACTATATAATTTGTTTCTAAATATTGAGTTTTTATACTGAGGGAATTAAATAGGGCATTTGCTTTAGATTATTACATACATATAGCAGGTATATTAATTCTTAATTACAAATTGACAAACTGCTGTATGACAATTATTATTATTAAGTTTACCATTACTGGGTCATTTTCAACAAATATATGAAACATCTGCTCAATTTCATTCATTTTGTTTGATAATGGTACAAAAATGTCATTTAGATTGTTCAGAAAATCTGCTTTAAAAACATTAGCAGTCAAAATATAACAATACCACAATACAAATCCCTTTTAGGATTGTACAAATCCTGGAACATGACCTAGCTGTCTAAATTACCTGTAGGAATCTGTCTATGATGGCTACTGTGAGGTAGAGGGTTTCCTGAAGGAGATGGAATCTGTGATGAACTTGACATAGCCAGTCAATGAGAATGGCTCGCATCTTGCCTGAAACTTCCTGTCCTTCAAGGTAGTTTGGTCGTACCATGTACTTCTCCTTTACATAAATCAAAATTATATAGACATTTCAAATTTCTGAATCTGATAAATGAATACAATAACGCGTACAAATATAAAGTCTTTTACCAACAGAAACAACTTATTTAAAAAATGATGAGATTTTTCTCTATAATGTGAAGTCAAGTCTCCAATTCTTATAACGGGACTAATTATTCAGCTTCAAATGCACACAGAAAAGCATTCTTCTACATTTCTATCCTTAACTTTCAATACAAAAAACAAGCAGAGCTATATTCTGTGAAGATTTCATGAGGGGATATTTTCATACCTCTAAATGCCTCATATAGTTGTAGATGTCGTTGACATATTCACTGACTAGCTGTGGGTTTTCTTTGTCGTTCGCATCAATATCTTGCACCTTGAGCAAGGCTTTAGAGAATGCTTCTGGTTTGTCATCACTGATGTCCATACATTCTGGTACTGAAGCAACCGGCAACAAGGATACTGTGGATGGTTGTGATGGCATTGACCGTAATACTTCTGGAATCTTTGGTTCTGGCTTGTGAACAGGTTCTTCTGCATCCTGACAAAGATTAAAAAAATTAAAAAATTCAATGAAAAGCAAAGTTCGAAATTTTTAATACTTGTTAATATTACAATTTCTGGAGGAAGTCACTTTTCTGCCCAATGAGGGATCTTGAAAATTTGTTTTCAATGTATAAAAATTATGTTTTTGATAACTTTTATTTGTAAATGATAAATTGTCATGAACACATTCACAAGTTTATCATGAAATATAAAAACTGACCAATATTGCTTATACTTACCAGATGAACATTGGCGTAGTCTGTTTGCGTCTCTATTAATGATTTTAGGGAAGATGTGGCTTTTGTTTTGTTTAGCACCAATGATTGTTGAGATTGCAGTTTGTTTGATAATTGAACAATTTCTTTTTTTATGGCAGTTTGTTTTTTGCTTGGGTCTATTGATATGGCAGACACTTTGTTGCGAATGTCCCCAAGGGCTGATCTTTGTCCAGCATGTGACACTGGGCGTGCGACCAAACCAACGCCATTTGTTTTCGTCGTCAGGGCCTTCAAGTCTGGATTTTCTTTGTTGATCGCTATTTTGACGTTCTGTTGAAGCATATTTGCTATATTCGCCTGGAAACAAAAAACAGTTAAAATTAAACTAAAGAACTTTGATCAGAATCAGGATGCAGAACTAACGGTTATCATCAGTTTAAATGTGCAGTCCTTTGATAACATGGATATATTCTTAATGGCAGTTATTCAATATGAGAATTATCTCAATTTGTTACTTTGGATAACATTAAAAGAAAGCAGAGATGAAGATTACTGAAATGAAAAAAAGCACATCTGAAGAAATGTGAACATACATCATAGACTTCAAATTCTTGATGTGTGATTATAGGTAATCATTCTCGTGCTTTTTCAGAGCAGAAATTACAAAATGAAATATTTTTGGAAAAGACACATAAAAACATTATTCCGATCGATTTACGAAATAATGCCGTTATTAATATTTACTACAGATAATAAAGAAATTGTATATTGGGTACCCAAATTTTTCGATAAAATATAACTGAAAGTGGATTAATTTTGAACCTTCTTCGGTTCTTTTATAAATCGTATTACTGAGTGCATGAGATTATTTTCGCCGACCAGTCCGTTTAGAATGAAGCACTAAAACATGTTCGTACCTGCAAGCAGTGCACAGCCGCCCTTATATCACAGTAAAAAAACTCGAAAACAAGAAAGCTGTAAAAATACCATGCACCCTGAATTCAAAGATACAGTCCATAAGATAAATAATATGTAACTAAAGTCGTGAAAATATGCCGTAACACTGAAGACACAGCGGAAATAACTTCGAAACGAATCCAAGCATAGCACGAAAACATGTCCGACTTTGTTTATGTTGAAGGACATTACTTATTTTACAAAATTACTACAACAAGAAAAATAAAATGTTTTCATACTTACCGACTGTGCTCTTGTAACAGCCATGATTAGTCTTTTGGTTGCTTTTGTAAATGCGTAATGCTTTTGATGCTGTGAAAACACTGCATGAATTGTCAGCTCAGCCGCACTCTGCCTATTTCCACAGCAAACTATCCCATAAGCATCAGTGTAGTTCGGAACAGCATTCAAATAAATGCGGCACACATTTCATTGGCCAATCGCTGAAATCAACATGTTTTTGATTGGTCAATGATGTTGATGATTTGTAGCAACAATTCGATAATTCATATTCTATGCAACAAATTCGTTGGCCTGGTTCTATGAATTTCTCTTATAAAAAATGATAGAAGAATACGAAGTTTTACTATTCCAAAAGGTGTAATGAAAATAATAGATATTTTACAAACAAAATGTTGTGCTTCCGGTATCATTCGGAATGTCTCTTACATTGTCCAATACTACAGTGTTGTTGGCTGAAAGCACCTGTTTAGGCAAGTAAATATTCTCGTGCTCATACCTGTCAAAGGTGCTAACAGTTGTCACAGGGTTGACCCTCCCATTCTTTATTGATTATTCATTATTATGCTGTAGTCAATTTGCATAATTATCATCCTGAAAATAGATAACTTCATTCGTGGTAACTGTGTTGCAGAAGATAATGTAGGACCAACAGAAATAATACAACGAAACGTAGAAATATCGAACGTTTCCAGATGAGATGTAGTTGAAAAGTTAGTGACTATAAAAGGATTATAAAATAAATTGGTCAGTCTCAACATGTTATATAACTGATGCAAAATTTTGAATAAACGTAACGAAGGCAGACAGTTGGCGAAAACTGTCCTCACAAATATTTGGGTTGCTTTCCACACTAAGCTAAATGAAAGGTCTTTTGAGTTGAGTTTGTTATGCCTCGTCTTTAGAAAGTTAAAAAAAAAAAAATAAAAACAAAATGTATAACTTTTAAAGCCCATCATTTTATGGTTATGTTATAGATTTATATCCTATTGTTTTACAATCCAGAGTTTAGAACCAAAATAAATTGGTCACCTACATCTCTTAACTTGAGTATATATGATAATATATATATATTATGGAATATCATTTAAAACAATTTTGTTTATACCATGGCAACAGGAATATTGACTAATTAAATTTGATGAAGAGAGCACTATCATGAATTTTACAGCACAGAATATGATGAAATGGAATCAATGATTAATTCAATTTCATTTTCAATATTTTTGTTTCACATAATATAAGTTGTGCAGACCATTTTCTGTCAAATGCCAATTAGTAAAAACTTATGGAGGCCAAATTTTCATATGCAGATATTAAAACTTCAAAATGTGATTATTTTTTAATAAAGAATTTGCCTTCCTGTAATGGATATTAAGTAAAATTTTAATGTTGGTTTCTTTATGTCGATTTCTGCAGGTAAAACAGAATCAAGATGGAAGATATAAAGAAGAGATTGGACTTCAATAACCCTGCTGTACAGACTCAGGTAGGTGTTTATCTCTCAAGTATTTACATACAGAAGGCACCAAGTTGGAAAGTAGGGTGTGTCTATACACATCTGAGCTTAGTTATATAACATGACTTGGGACCAGCAAGGTATGCTCTCATGTTTCCAGGATATACCCTATATTGTTGATGTCAGTCAGCTCTGCCCTGTGGAAGTGAAGGAAATGAATTCCTATTGTGATTTTGAAAAAAAGGTTATATCCTGGGGCTAAATACTTGAAAAACAAAAGCCATTTCTTCCGTAGAAATAAGCCAATTTCAAGAACAGTGTGAAAAAAAATTTTGTATGTTCATCCTAAATGGAAGATTTTTATTTTTTTTTTCAACAATGAGAAACAGAGATTTTACTATTGGCTTTACTCAAGACTGCTGAACAATTTTCTTAGCTTTTCAAGATCTGCATGTATACATGTATCAATTTGCTACTGAGTCCCCCCACCTAGCAATCGGTGTCTATCTCCAAAATTAAGAAAATTGTAAAAAGAAACTATTTTAACGATTGATCCTACTGGAGAAGGATCATTCTGGGTCCCTTAGGCCCACACAGTATTTGTCTTTTGATCCGGTTGGAGTCACCATTCCTTTACTTTATATCTTATAATCCTGTGAAGGTTTATACTTCTAAGAACGGCAATATTACACTAATATGACACAATATGAAGTAGATAATACATTAACTAAAATGTTATGACACCTCTTTAAAAGGCGCCAAAGTTATTCTGAGATAATATGATTCAACCTTTTTTTTTGATGTCATTTTAATCCTAGTAAATCTTTTGATGTTTCTCATTCTCGGGTCTCATTAATCCTCTGCCCAAATTTGTACTAAGTATCAATAGGATGTGATACTACAAATGATGTCTTATAATACTTGACATAATAATAAAGAGTAAAGAGGTATGAAAATTTTCAATTCAGTGTGATCTTGATCTCCTGTTGGGACCTGGAGGCCTCCTAGTGTTTGACACTGGGTCTATAGTTAGTGAAATTTTGGGGCTTACTAATGTCTACGATTAGAGTATAAATTATGCAGAAAAATGGATAATGGAAAGTAAGATAGGATCAGGTTCCTGATAGGGAAGTCAGGAGTGAGGCACATATTTTACTCATTTAGACAAGGATGGATCAAGCCATTGCAATTTATTTGAGAATTTGCCTTATTTCTGTATCTTTATTTGTCTGGAGTGCTCAGTCGTTTCATTGAAGACTAGGGCTAATTTGAGGCAGGATCTTCTTGTAGTAGGTGGTGACAACCTTACTGAACATAATGCAGGAGGTTTGTTAAATTCTTATTCAAAGTTATTTCGGTCAAGTGTCTTGCCCAATGACACAACCACAACAACTGGATGGTTTGGGTTCTTAGTTTTTTAAGAAACACAAAACACCTTGGGTATGGGGATCAAACTAAAGTAAAACACAAAGAAGTCAAAGTTGCCAGGACCTAATGAAATATTTGACTTATCCAAATGTTCAACATAGTGATGTTTCTATGAACGGAGACATTGTGCTTGGAAGATTGACCCTTTTTTCATTGGTTGTTTACCGGATACATGTCTCGGAGCATGGCATGACAGTAACGAATAAGTGATAAATAGTATCTTTTATTTGAAAAAACAGGTATAAGTACAACACTCGTCATTGCAGCACATGCGTGAATATGCATCCATTCTCATATACACATAATTTAGTAACATCGATACCAGAAGTAACACAAATTTTGTGCTCACATTTATATCCAAAGTGTAACAAGTCCCATCAATAACATTTTAAAATAAAACTCACAAAATAGGTACTCATGAACATTTTACATTGATAAAACATCAGTAGTACTGAGCTGTTACGAAAATGCGACAACGTCACTGTAGCATAACTTAGTGTTGATTCATAGTAAAATCATGTAATTCCCAGCTGAGTGTTAATTCATAGTAAAATCATGTAATTCTCAGCTGAGTGTAAATTCATAGTAAATCATGTAATTCCCAGCTGAATGTAAATTCATAGTTAAATCATGTAATTCCCAGCTGAATGTAAATTCATAGTTAAATCATGTAATTCCCAGCTGAGTGTTAATTCATAGTAAAATCATGTAATTCTCAGCTGAGTGTTAATTCATAGTTAAATCATGTAATTCTCAGCTGAGTGTAAATTCATAGTAAAATCATGTAATTTTCAGCTGAGTGTAAATTCATAGTAAAATCTTGTAATTTTCAGCTGAGTGTAAATTCATAGTTAAATCATGTAATTCCCAGCTGAGTGTTAATTCATAGTAAAATCTTGTAATTCTCAGCTGAGTGTAAATTCATAGTAAAATCATGTAATTCACAGCTGAGTGTAAATTCATAGTGAAATCATGTAATTCTAATCCTAGTATAAATTCCCAGCTGAATGTAAGTTCAAAGTAAACTCAGGCAATTGCAAGTTGAGTGTAAATGATATTAAATATGTACCAGTCTCATTGACATATTTTAACCAAAACTCATTTTTATCGGAGAGTCTTGCCTAGAAGAGAACTGGCACGTGATTTCTGCCTGAAGTATAGGCAGACATATCACTGTGAAATATCTTGGAGGACCATTTGATCAATGATGAGGATTTATTGAATTGAATAAGATTTCTTCACATGCTGGCATAGAAGTTGAGACACACCTGAAGAAAAGAGAGGCAAAATTTGAATTACACCAGTTTTGTAGATAAGTGACCTCACCTCTGATTTTGTTGCCACTAAGTAAGTGGACAAAGAAAGCTAGAGATTTCTTAAATTAAACTGTCAATTTCTTTTTATTTGGAAATATTAAGAATTGATATTCATATAGTTTAATAGTGTTCCTATAAACCCCAAAAGGATTTAAAAAAAAATTTTCATCCTCAAAACAGCAGGTTCTTGTGCTTTTATGTATAAAGCTTTGTAATGAGTGTATGGAATTCTATAAATCTGTACATTATATTTCCAGATTAGAAAGTTAGTGGGAATACTGTTTAAAGTCCCAAATAGAGTTCTGAAGCAAAATCTTTTACATTCAGATGAAAGTTTTGGAAGGTTTTAATGAAATAAACAGTCTGGTTTCAAATGCCTTCTTTGCAGTGTTGAAAGAAAACAAATGAGAAAGTGTTTTGAGTAAAATTAAATACTGTTCAGACTTTTCATGTTCTTTTGCCACTTGTCAAATGTTACCTGGGTGATCATTTCTGGTAACGATAATTGTTAGTTATCTTCATTGTATGTAATACATGTAAATAAAATGGAGTTAATTTATTTCTTCACCACAATTTTATGAAATATCAAGTTATACTCTTTAAACCTATATGTATCTTAATATATAGTTATTCTGTGAATATCACATTATAATTTCAATTGGAATTAATACTGAATGGAAACAGTTTAGCTGAGCAGGCATGAATCGTGGGCTAACTGACCTCAACCTTGGGGTCACACAGCATCTGGATTAATGAGTAAGTGTTATAACTGGATCAGTTTTAGGCGGGACCTACACTAATCTTACCCTGGGAAGGACAGCCATAGATTTCTACCTGAGAAAATACTTACACACCGGAATATTTTTGTAGGTTACTATA